TGATTCACACACTTTACTTACGGTGCCTACTGTTCGCTTGACGCAATTATCTATCTTTTCAATCACGCTGGTTTTTCTCGCCAGGTTTATATACTTAAAAGAGGGCGTCTCGATCAGACTAGAGTTGTCAGGCAAATTCATGATCCTTTGAGAAACTCCAGCGCGCATTCTCCCAGCATCACGTGACTTCTGCTGTCATAACAATATTTCTTAAAATGTTTGTTTACTTGGAGTGCTCTTTAGATGGGAAGATTGGATTAAAGTTGTGTAAAAGTACAACTAAAACTTTTAAGAACCAATCCTATAATGAAGTAAGTACTTATTTTACATTAATACATTGCCAGTAATTTTTATTTGTTGTTTTAACTTCCTGATACTAAATTTACAAGAGTGAAACTTTGTTCTATTGCAGTGTTGTATTATACTATTACTGATATAAGTTTTGTTATATTCTCTTCAGTGGTGAACACTAGGGGATGCAGTTGTACTTCCAATAATTTTGGTGCACCATGAAAAAATTTTGGAACCATCTTTAAAGGACATAAATCATAAGGTTCATGTAATACAGAAAAATATAATGTTTGCTTAAAAAATTAACTCCACAACATATAATATTATGTGGATTAAACCACCTTTATTTAGATGACAACTATAAAATATTGATTGTTATTAATGCAAGATATTTATTTTAACGCATACAACTGATTAAATTATTATATCGTATGTTAGTTAATTTATATAAATCTTTTTTTTTTAACATGTATATACCGGGTTATCAAGTTACAGAAAAATTTATAGAAAGATGTTTGACAAATATAAAATATTGATTGTTATTAATGCAAGATATTTATTTTAACACATACATCTGATTAAATTATTATATTGTATGTTATTAATTTATATAAATCTTTTTTTAGCATGTATATACCGGGTTATCAAGTTACAGCAAAATTTATAGAAAGATGTTTTCACCTACTATCATGAATAATACACATTAGAAAAAAATGTTACCAGCTGATGATTAGCAATAGAAATTGAAACCTAAAAAGCACTATAACATAAGGCATCTTTATATTGTAAAATTCCATTATTATTTACCTTCTTCCTGATCTTTGAACTTTGACACTCCCTCTTTGCACCTCCAGTGATTTCAAGTGTATTTACCACTGATTCTGTTACAGTTTTTTAAAGGAGGTTTCAAAGCTGTAGAATTATGAAACGTTACTGAATACAGTTTATTTCTTGAACTTCAAATTGACTTTGTCTGCTTTTCCCACAGCCAACCTCTGGGTTATTACGCAGCACCTCCGTATCACTCCAAAGCTCACCTTACACAACCCCGCAACCTTCACTTACAAGAGGAAGAAGCTTATCTACTGACCACACTGCCTGGATTGATGGACAAGCTCCAGAGACAGGTAACATAGTTAGTTAGTGGTATTGTTATTTATCTCAGTATTTTCTTTAAACCCAAAAATCATGCTTTATAAGCTAGTTAATGCTAATGTTACAGAAACAGTCATGATTATTGCTTTTTATACTACACTGTTAAACTAGCCCAAAGTTTTTTAAAACTCAGAATCAGGTTATATTAGCTATTTAATGGTAGTGCTACAATGACAATTATAGTTATTGCTTTTTCTGCTATACTGATTACATAGCATAAAATAATAGTCAAGTTTCAGAAACAGGTAATATAGACTAGTTACTACTGACTGTCACAATGGTAGTCATAAATATTGTTATCTCTCCAAGTGTCATTAATACTATTTTGCATTTCATTGTTGTTTTTAGTTTACACAACCTAGAGTATTAATTAAGCCCCAGAGCCAGGTAGTAAGTAATACATTTTGAAAAGCCACATGGTAGTGAAATGATAAAAAGGTGTCCAAAAAATCTTACTGCTGAGGCACATACAAGAATATATGAGCAACAGTAACACTTAAGATGTTTCCTATAAATTGTCCGAAAATTGGTTTCATTTCACTTTTTAGGTTATTAGCAAATCACATTTGTTATAGTTATTTGAAAATATATATTTTGTGTGTGTTTATTGTTCAGGATTTTCAGTAAGATGTTATTAATTGCTTTCATGTGTTATTTCTCATACAATTATAACTTATTTGCTGTGTTCCAGGTATTGGGTCAGCTGGAGTGGATAATTTATTCCACATGGCAGGTAGTTTGGGCAAAGCTGTTGGTACTTTAGTTAATGTAATGACTGATGATGAAGGTGGAAGTGGTTCAGAAGAAGACGTAGAACATTGATGAATAATAGTTTAGTGTTTATTTGTTGTTGTTTTTTATTTCAATGGAACATTATGGAGATAGTCTTGTTTACTTAAGCAGGTTGGAGATAAAAATATGATATTGTGGTTCAAATGAACTAACTACATTGTTTCTATTAGCCTTTCATTAATATATATTGTTTCCAATTTTGTGCTACAAACTTGCTTATTTCGAAAAAGAGAAAGTCCACTTAAAATGTTATTCTAGCTTCCAACTTTCCTCCCACCAGCTGCTTGACTGCCAGTTTGCTTAGACAGATGTGTTTGTGGCTAGACAGAACTGCTGTGGTATGATTTTGTATTCAGTATTGTTCTTTGGAATGCCTTCCATAAAACCTTGTGGTTTCCAGTTAGTTTCTTATATTGTAATTTATTATTTTATTACAAGTTACAGCTTTTACAGTAAGGAAAAATATTATTTAGAACAGGTACGACATTTCAGTCATTGGTGCGATAATTCTTGTGTACTTGAGAATGATCGCACCAGTGATCAAAACATTGTGCCTTTTCTAGATGATATTTTTTCTTCCTGTAAAAGCTGTAACTTGTAATAAAATAATCAGTAATTAAACTCAAAACGAAACTATGAAATCCTTTTTGTTTTGTCATTTCTTAAGTTGTGACGTGTAGGTAAATTAAGTTGTATTTTTTTCATGTGTAAATTATATTTTTAATTGTTCGTAGATCAAACAATTTTTTTTTATATTTGGTCATGAATTCATTTCACAGTTTACATACTTTTATTATGAATTCAATTAAACTTTTGGTATTTCTGGTTTTCACAAGTTATTTGTCCACCTAAAACTGTAATCGTTTATAAGTTGAAATTCCTGCTGGAGCATGCAGTACCATCCTTATTACCGATAGAAGTTCTTTTATATTATTATTTGAAATTCATTGCACCAACAACAGTCATTTACTTCCCTTGAATGCAGAAATCGTTTTGAAAATTTATAGTAGTGCTGCCCTTGATGAGAGAATTAATATAGTGTAAACTTATCATCATGTTAAGCTGTAGTAATATGATTATGTAATATTATGTATTGGACAAATAATTTGTGGCTATCCTGTATTTTTTACCCAAGTAGCGTTTGGATAATTATAAAAAAATATATCCTAATTAAATAAACCACATAGTTATTTTATAATGTTTTAAAATTAACTATACTTGAAAGGAAATTATCCAACTTTATTTCAAAAGAAGAAACACAAGAAGACGAGCTTATTTTGGATGCTTGAAAGTTCATTAGCTTGACATATTGCATACGTTCATCACCTGTTGTTCCGTGCAGTATTGTACAGTATAAGAGTATTTGGTCTTGTGATGTAGCTTGTCTGTCCTTTGTGTGGTTTATGTTATCGTTTTAATCTTTTGTCATACCTGATGTAGCAGTTTTTTTTATTGTTAGACTAATGAATAATCATAAATTCTTAAAGATTTGATGTAAAAATTGTTCTATTTTTCTTAGTTAATATACTGGCTGTTTTCCTTAGGTTCAATTATTGAGCATGGTAATAATAAAAACTATATTAATATTTTAGTATTTTAAACTTATTAATTACTTTTTTTTGTAATTGCTTTGACATATGTTGTTAATTTTAAATAATTATTCTGTGTTGGAAAAAAAAAGTCTTTTGGGAACAACATTGATTTAAAATGTAGTTTTACCAGCTGAAATTTTTGAAACTTGAGGTTTTAATTTTAAAGTAAAGAATATTCTTTAATTGCATCTTGAGTAAGATATTGTTGTTCAATCACATACACTAATGACTAGAATTATTTAGTGTCAAAACACTAGGGTAGAGAAAAAACACTTTATAACAAATATTATCCTCATAAGTGTGTATCTTATCATGCCATCTTACATATATTGTTCTGAATATGTCTCAATACTGCCCCTTGTGGCTCAGCAGTTAGTCTGCAGACGTACAACACTAAAAATCGGGTTTCGATACCCGTGATGGGAAGAGCACAGATGGCTCATTGTATAGCTTTGCACTTAACAACAACCAAATCAATTGTTTCAATACTACTTTCTAAAATAGGGAACGAGAGCCCACGCATGGCCAGGTGGTTAAGGCACTCGACTCGTAATCTGAGGGTCGCGGGTTCGAAT